AATTGCTTGTATAAAGTATATGTATTAACTGTTATGTCTTACATGTTTGTTTACTTTTTTTGTTGAAAATTAATAAAAGATTTTGAAAGAAAATTTGGAATAGTCATGTTGTTCTAAAATGAATACCTTTTTCTTTTCTCCTTTTAGGATTTATATATACTTGTGGTGGAACGTTAAAAGGATTGAATGGAACTATAGAAAGCCCAGGCTTCCCATATGGCTATCCAAATGGTGCAAATTGCACATGGGTAATAGTAGGAGAAGAACAAAATAGGATCCAGATTGCCTTTCAATCATTTGCTCTTGAAGAAGAATATGATTATTTATCATTATATGATGGACATCCTCACCCTACAAATTTTAGAACAAGGCAAGTTGATCCATTTCATTTTTTAGTTAATTAAAGCATGGTATGCCTGCGATTCCAGGCCTTTGTTCCTGTCAGCAGAGAGGGTCTTATACAAGACAGGATCACAATATGTGTCACGGACTTCCGCACTTAGAAGAGGCAGCAATCATCATAACAATTATACATTTTCACATTGTGATTTTTTCATGAAAAAAATATAAAGTGATTTTGCTGAGGCATCATAGCTGTGTTAATTTATCTTTTCTTCTCCTCAATATTTTCTTTTTTAATTGGGTGCTGTTGACTTTTGTTCATGAACAGAGAAGACCTATAAAACAAAGTTGCACTTCCCAAATTGCAATAACCGTTTATTAAACATATTATATCCCTAATACATATAAGGGTCTATTCACTAAGCTATTCACTATTCACTTCAGGCTGGTACGGCTGATTTCAGCCGTATATCGGCTGAAATCAGCCGTACATCGGCTTGCTTCGCATGGCTTTCGGGTCGGCCGAACATGCTCAGCATGTTCAGCTGACCCGAAGTGCAGAAGGAGTTCGACTCAGCCGATCCAACATATGGATCAGCTGAGCCAAACCTCCGGCAGGCTACTCACTGCTGTTCGGCCTATTCTTACAGAAAAGAAAAAATTGTTTAAAAAGTTTAAAAAAAGTAAATAGAAAACAATTGTGCGGAGCTAGCAATGACAGCTAGCTCCGTCCAACAGTTTTCTATTGTCCGGCCCGTACAGCACCCCTTTGGTTCTACTGAACCGAAGGGGTCCTGGGGCCGAAGCTAGCCGAAGGATCGGCCGAAGCTAGGGCTAGATCCTTCGGCAGCCTCGTGAATAGACCCCTAATAGTGTAATTTAAAAAGTCCCTAAAGGCTTCGCTCACCTTTTCTTTTATTCAATTTAGGCTAAAGAAAGCTAATATGATACCTGTTTCTAAGCCAAAAATTCACTGGCATCAAGTCAGGCATCCTGTGCACAGTGCAGGTGGGCCTGACCTTTACCAGAGTCTGGAAGATCTCCTGCCTAATGTACCCACCCACAGCTCCTGATCTCTGTGTGTGTGCCCACAGCTCTTGATCTCTGAGCCTGCCCACCACTCCTGCCAAGCTTTCTCATACACTACACAGAATTGCAGGGAATATATTTCTGTCACCCCCTCCCATTGTAATTGCCGTATGGCAGTGACTAGCAAGGTGGGCAAAACAACACATGTCTGTAAGCAGGTGCATCATAAAAATTTTAGATCCCCTCCACGATCTACACAACACAGGTTAGTCATAAGGATGCCACATGAAGCCCACCAAAGGCAGTGCAAATTTCGAATTTTTCCCCAGAGAAAAGTCACAACCCCCATGTTCAAGGGAGGGGTATGTGAGGGCTGGCAAATGGCACAAAAGACAGATGCAAAAGATAACCTAAACCCTTATACAAGCACAGTTCTCTGCACCTATATATACGCTTTATCATTTTACAAATAAGGAATATCATGTTGCAAAAGAATACTGAAAACACATCCACCATAGGCTCAATGCAATCCACTGGCTAGACTGGATAATAAAGAGAGGAAATAAAAGTAAACACAACCATAAGGTGAAAAATGTTGCCAGTGTAGATTATCCCCAGTTGGATGATATAACTAAGGAAAAGTGATAGTATAGTGCCTAGCTAAAGATATTAAAGTCAACCAAGAAGTCAAGAAGGATGACATAGAAGAGGAGTGTATAGTGAGACCCATGTTTGATGGGGCTGCACTTTGCATTTTTTAGGAGCTGTTACTCTTGGCTGTCTTTATCTGCTTTCCTTACTGTCTGCTACTAGAGTAAAATGATTTTTAAAAGCTTTGAAATTGGTTAATCAGAGTAAAACCATCATCCTTTGTCATTATAAGCTACTGGTAAAGTTACGTGAGCATCTTCTTGACCTCCAGTGCACAAATGGGCTGCAAATTGGACTGATCTTTGTTCAGTCCTGATTTGACCTATTTGGTTTATCCATCTCCATTTTCTGATATCAGATATCTAGTCTTTACGCCACACCTAAAATATTGAAGGAGTATTTGCACCTAAGAGGAAGAGTGGCCATACATAGGCTGATATTTTTTAAAGTTTAGTGACAATACTTCATTAATTTGATTATACGAAATAGAAAATTGATTTCAAAAGCAGGTGAAATTGTCCTATTAACCTAAATATATGCATGCAGATTTGTCCAATTTGCAGCAAGTTATGCAATTAATTAAGCATAAATGAGTAAATTCCTCAAATGTGTGATAGTTTGCAGATCAGACAGGTCTACATGCAAATATACAAGCATCAAAAATTAAAAACGATGCAATTCTTTCAATTAGATAACTATTATTGATAAATAATATCTTGTAATTGTTTAAATCAATCAAATCAAAATGTAGGGTGATTGTTATTGTGGTGAAGTTATTGTAAATATTTAATTTCCTTGTATTCTAATGGATTGTTTGTACTGATAACATTGCTCAAATCTCTGTCTGCTTAGAATGTTTTTCCATTAAGTTGAAAAATCAATGCGATTGCTATTTTCCATTTCCGTTTACCATCAAAGAATGTTTTTGTGCTTAAAATGTTGCAGTCATCATTTGGTTTCCCGAATTGTACTATCAATTTATTTTGATCTACCTTTGCGGAAAAAAACTACATGCACCCTTGCTAATGCTTTCCTCTTCTCATTGAGAAAACAGTATTGAACCACTTATGTGCCGCTTCAGCCTGCCAGGCACGCTGCATGAGAAATAGCTGTGTGTCCTAATAGTATAGACAGCAGATGGCATGACTGCTTGGCATTTTTGAGAACACATATGCCCACCTAAGGGTAGGTGTAGCACACACCATGTATATACATATCTCTGTAAAGATAACATTGCAAGGAGGGTTCTGTAAGATCATACTGTGTATCAAACTTCCTATATTCAGTTAGCAGCAATAAAGAAAATCCTCAAACCAAGTTCTTAAAGTACATGGACACTTTTACGAAAAAATGCCCCTAGCTTACCTCGCTATTCTACCATCGCATACACACACAATACCTCTTCTGATGGCTTCTGTCCGCAGCCAGGCTGGTAAAAATCTAGTGCCAGGCTGCCCTCTCCTGCACACTAACATCCTATAGACTTGTATTGGTAATTTTCCTGGAGTATGGGTACATCCAATTTTTTCCATTCTTCTTGCTTGAATTGAAGTGTGGAGGGGTTGGCAAGTCCACCGTTGTTGATGAAAGGAGCATAGTGAATAAAGACCATACTGTTTTACTATCTAAAGGAGTCTAAGCAAAGGTCATTCCTTTTTTTTTTTCTTTTTTGCTGCTGAATGTTAGAAACTGCCATGTGGTTGTATCTTTTTGTTGTATTTTATGGGTTAATGGATATAAAAGAAAGTCAAGCATTACACAGCACTTTAAGTTCTATTTTCTTCCTACATATTATTTGTTGTCATTAAATGAAAATCTCCTTGATGTGAAAGTAGGTAAAGGTTTTATTGTATATCCCATGCTTTAAAGATAATTAAATATTTAAAGTAGCAGTTGGGTGACAAATAAAATGAATGACTGCTTATTTTGCAGAGGTGTACAGAGCAGTCACAATGACATTTGGATGTAGTTTGTGGATATGTTACTTTCCCTGAGATTTCAGCTTTTAAATGTTATAAAATACATTTTTTTATTTATTTATTTTTTTCATTGATTTTAGGTGACGGTGTTTTTGCTAGTGAAGCCTTAAAAAACATTAAATAATAAAGGACTAACAAACCGGCGTTAAAAAAGAATGATTGAGAAATAGTGTATTGGTTGAATTGTGTATCCCCTGGCTGGCCTACCTTTTACTTTTTTTCGTGTTGGCTACGTTTGGTTGTTGATAGTTTTCATGATCCCCTCTGAAGCCTTACTTCCTTCCATCCCCTCCTTTTTCTTATCTCCCTTTCTTTTCTCCCTCCCTACTTTTCCCTGCTCTTGTCCCTCTTTTCCAATTCCTCTAATCCCCCCACCCACACTACTACTCAATACTCTCCTTATTGCACGAGGTAATGGAACTCTTCACTTTGCTTGTTTGGGTTTATATTACTGCATTTTTGGGACTACCCATGGGGCATCAAGCTCCACCTATTTTCCTCCAGAACATTGATGATGTTTCCACTCTGCTACTGTTGTGTATTTCTATGGTGTCCAGTTTATATTGCTTACAAAATGTTTGCTTGTATTGAAGGGTTTCTCTTTACTATTTTGAAAAAAACTGAAAAATAAATATTATGAAAAAAAAAGAATGATTGCATATGAGGGATGTAAGAGTCGATAATTGGTCATAGGAGGGATACAGAAGAAAATAACTGGTTATAGGAGGGTTGTGGGAGGAGATGGTTGGTCGTAGTAAGCTTTGAGTGTGTATTAGCAAATCTGACCAAAGATAGCCCAGCTCCACAACTGCTAAAATAATAATAGTTAGGCAATACAGAATAGTATTGATATAGTTGATACAGAACAATTATTTAGGGCTTACCTACACAAGTGTTTGTATGTTTATTTCTTTTCTGCCTACACAATAGGAATATAAATGCAGCATGAAGCTGTTGGATGCAGCATGGAAGGGAGGTCAAATGCAGGTGTGAACTATATCAATGCAGGTCAGAAAGAGGTCATAAGTGGTCAGAAAAGATGTGAAGGAACTCCGAATGTACCTGATAATATCCTTTTTTTGCCCATTTACACAAAAACTTTTAAAGATGAATTAATTTGATCCTAAAAAATATATATTTAATTATTAATGAATATATTTAAAACGTTTTCCTACTTTTTAAATAATTGATTAGGCTCAAATAATTCAATATTTTATGTAGCAGATCAATCCTGTCCAGCTATTGATTTTTCTGTGCACATTTAACACATTTTTAGAATATGGTTCACATTATGACTTTTCACTGTTCGGTCTTTTATTTTATTTTTTGCTATATTTTACAAAACATTACTACATTTTTGCTACAGCTA